CTCATAAATGGAGAAAACGAGTAACCAAATGAATTGCGAAACACTTACATTTTACATCTACCTTTAGTAAATTATTCGTAATGTTCACATCAGTGAATTACTGCACAACCATTTTTCAATGTAAAATCTTCAATTACTTAAAAACAACCACAGACATATCAGTACCACGTATGATAACAATAATCAAATTTGCTGCAATATGATAAATGCGAATGAATTCAAGAAGGATAAAACGTCAATCCTAACAACACTTTCACCTCACCTCAGAATCACATGAAAACGGTTATATTTTTCACCATTATCACGTAATACATCCAACATCCAATAAATTCATCAACTACCTACATTATTGTTAACCGGTTTCAAAAAGTTGTTTACGTTCATCAAGTTTACGACCGATAAAGTTCAGTTGCAATCATCGTTCTCCAGCACCAACATTTCTACACCTTTCCAATTCAACACCACTATCTACATTTCAATGTCAGTTCACCTTCTCTTTTCCCGTTCCCTTCGTTACGGTTCAACTTATTCGCTCCTTCCTTGAAATTTTAATGTCACAGTCCGTGGTTAATCTGCGGTAGTTATTAGTAGTGTTAAGCTAATCCCACCTTAGTGTATAAATCTTCATGATTTGAATCAAGCCACAAAATAGATCATTATCGGTTCAATGAAGATGAATGATTACCATAATAATTTTATTATAAGCATTATCATAAAGTACTTCTCATAGTCAGTTGTTTATCGGTCACTTTGCATTGGAAATTCCTACAAAAATCGATTCTTCTTATAAAATTGGTACTGAACTTTATAACACAAAGAAAATTGCTTGGTATCATGGCATAACCGAATTCCATCGGATTCTACCGATCGAACTTCAGGATTACCATCATTAGATCATACCATATCAAATTAATACAGTTTTGTATAAACCGACTGAACAAAAGACTTTATCATTTGAAGCAACGGATTCAACGTGATATGATCTTACGCTAATTTCTGACATGAATACTGAGTCTTTTGGCCAAAAACGGCACCTTCATAGCAAGGGAAGAAGAGTGAAGTATGTTTTTTTCAAAATTGCGAATCACAAGCTCAGCAAAGAACGATTTGCAGATTTTCTGGCCTTTCGATAACATTCCATCCAAAAACAAAATAAACATATGCTTACCACTAATAATGTTTTAGACGACGTTTGTATTAACTGACAAAACGAAATTTTAATAGGACAGTTCGACTGAATTCATACAGTGCAAAATTTAAACATAAAACAGAAGCGAAATGATTCATGCTGGCTTATAAATGACCGACGGGTATTCATAGCAAAATGAGAGTGGATCACAACTGAGTAGGTCTATGAGCAGTATTCTAACTTGACAGATTCCCTGATGTATACCAGCAGAGAGACGCACTTCATCATAAACCTCTATCACCGAAATACTTTTAGCAGGTTATGTCGAAATGCAACTCCAATCACAAACTTGTTATCAACTCCAGTTACAACTAACATCTGCATTTTTATCGAAAAGTAAAACGAAAACAGTAAATACGGGAAGAATTACAAGCAACCAACATCGGAACGAGTAATGGCAAACACCAGCAACAACTCTTAAGAGATTTCATCAACCGAAAAAAAACTAAACAAGCATCATACAATCAGTGAATCGTATGAAATCCACCGATCACTGGTACGTTAATCATTCTCTTCTCCTTCACCACCGTCCAATTCCACTGCTATTTCAATGCCCTTAAATTATATCAAATCATAATATTAAACCTTATAACATCATATCAGTCCAGAACGCAACGATAACAATGCATAAAAATATGCTCAACGCAATGCATCGAATCAACAAAACAAGCCATCTGGATGCTCACCTCATCGATCTGTTTCAACGCTTCATCTCTGTCAGCACTACTTTCAAATTCGACCATTATCTGCTTATTCTTTGACTTTTCATCCACTGCCATGTATTTCATGCACTTATCTCCCTAAACATATCCATTTAACTATTACACATCTTTTTTCGCTATCCATAAATAGACATTCATCTCTTTAAATTGGTCGACTACAACGAAAACGATCTAAACCGAGAACGAATCAGTCAACAACTGAATTTAAATAAATTAAGCTAACCAGACGTAGAGCCTTGGTGTCAGTCATAATGAAATGCGATAGCACCACCACACCTTCCTGATCGAGCAAGTCAATTTTCATATAACCAATATCATGTTGTATTCCGATTGAATAACTTCCCTTTATGTCCATCGTTTTACCCTTCAACAAAACTGCATTACAATGATACCAAATACTTCAGTCTAATAAACAACACCTCCATTTCATGATTAACTATACCGACGAAAAAAGAAATGATCGGCCAATCAGTAAGTTAGCGACGAAGTAACAACGCACAGGTTTAAGAGGTGATGTAAATCCATCCGTAATGCTCATTCGGGCCGGGAACTCGGAAAGCTCCTCATAAGGATCGTTATCGTCATTTTTTTCATTGTCAGCATCTTCACCACTTGTCTCGTCCTCATTCTTGATAACACTCAATGCGCTAACTCCACCTTCCTTCGATCCACTTTGATCCGACTGTTTAGTTGATGATGAATCAACAGTTGCAAGATGTTTATCTGAAATGGCAGGTGAGTTGTAGTGCACCTTTCAGGTCACTTCTCTCTTTTTGAACCACTGATGAAGCACCACTGATTCGACTGACTCACTCATAAAGTCTCGATGATCAAGCATTCACTTATCAATTCATTACAAGAATGTCGCATCCCTGTCAATCCCAGAGTGCCATCAAGAAAAGCTTCCAGCTTGTTTACAACATGACTGAACACAACTCTTCTGTTGAAAATGAAAGGAACGAACTGTTGATGTCAGTTGTTGTGTACTTCGCATGACAACCATCACGGAATACCGACATGAACTGATCTGCCATAGTCGCCTCCTTGAATTTTGCTACGAAGCATTCTCTCCTTCCCTGCATGTCCTCCGAATAATCCTTCAATTGCTATCTCCATCAAATCAAGTCCTTTTCAGAACCATAGTCATATTCGACTCACTCCTCGATCACTCCATATACCCGCATCGTTTTGACATTAGCCAATAATCAATAGCAGTTAAAAACCACGAACTGTCGACATAAATCTTATTCTGTTTATTCAAGCATCTTTATGATGTCCAACAAAATTTCATCGTTTTTCTCTAAGCGACCTGCTCTTTTCTACGTGAACCAAGGGAATTAATGCTATTCTTCATGGATGGACAGCAATTTCGCTTAAATTGCAACCAAAATTTCTCCATCAGGGCAAACATATACGTATAAAAATATCTACTGTCCAACACGGACTTTCGAGTCAGAAACAATAAATCGGTTTTGTATGGCTATTTTTTGAGTTTGCAATGGATGTGAACTCTACTTCTCACCGAAGACCTCGTTTCGATGCAATTTTCAAATGGAAATGACTTTCACAAGTTTTGGGCAAACAGTGATACAAGCGTTGTATATAGTTTATGAAGTGCATTTTTTCAATTACCAGGTGCGGTTCACGAGTTTCATGTTCAACTTTGATTAGTTCACACATTCAAGAGCATTCACTTCATGTAAATTTAGGGAACCATAATATACCACAGTATGCTTTTTATGATATGCGCACAACAACATAAACATGTGTTCGCATTGCTCAAATCCAACCGAAATGAACTATGTGGAATAAATAACCGAATACTGCACTTTATGGGAACTGCTTGTCAGGGAATAAATCAATTAACCTGGACTCGATGCCCAATTAGGGAAATAACATTCATTGCCAAAAAAACTTTTCTTATTCCATGCTATTAAACACAAAATAATGTGAAGGGGTAAGGGTAGATGGGATGACGATCGAAGATAAATGAACAATGTATTAAAACGAAAGAACTAGCCTTACACATCCACATGCAAGCATTGTCAGTGCCCGGTTTCATTTTGATAGTCATCCCATCCACGAGAGGCGTGTTCGCACATACTTTCAGTACCTGTTCACGTCTCATCACAACACGGCACTTCTTTGTCTTTTCGTTCAACAGTATCTGCAGCAATCATTATTTATCAACAACACGCTCTCCCAACGACAACTGTTTCATGCAACGCTAATGTTACCTACCAATAAACTCATACCGAAATTCGCTTGAGTAATACCATGACAATAATAATAACAATAGTAACAATAATAATATTAATAACCTTAATATCACCAACACCACGCTCTTTATACTCGGAAGTGTCCTCAACGAAACGATACAACTTTGCACGTGCTTTAAATAAAACCTGAACGAAGAAGTAAACCGAATCAGCCAGTTCATATTCTTATATTAACTTATGGAAACGAAATAAAACATTACTAATGCATGCCCCACCCCACCCATTTCACACTGAAATATAATATCCGTGATAATAGAAAGGCTTACGCTCCAAGTTACGCTTGTTCACTGAACAAACGATAAACAATAAATCGTTTACTTTACAACGTAAATAATGTATTAAACACTGGCAGAATATAACATCCGAATTGCATCCACAAACCTTTTCATCCTCTTCACCAGTCTTCACTTGAACAATTGGAGGTGTAGGTATGAGAGGTTCGAAATGAGCGGTCGGTACAAATTCACCATCTTGTTGATTCTCTTCGTGATGACTTTCATTCTTCTCCGATGCATCTTCATTGCTCTTCTTCGATGTTGCTAATTTCGTGAATACCTTCAAGTTCCCAGTCAGTTTATCTTCATCTCACAATCACACATCAAACCAACCGATTGTTCTTTCTTATCGAATTTCCCACCGGCAAATGGACTAATAGTTGTCGCTGAATTGCTGCCAGTCGTCTCTTTCTTCTCGTTACTATTCGCGATCGCTGCCAACGCAGCAAAACCACCAGTTGTATTGGTCGAGCTTAAGCCAGTACCGAATACTGATGATGTGCCAAATAAAGATGTCGTTTTGAGAGGTGATGAGCCACCGAATGTCGACGACACACTACATTTCATTTGCTGCTTGTCGCTTGCCGTTTCTTAAGTTATTACTTAAACATCGAATGGATCATAGTGCAAAAGAGTTATACCATCATTGGTGCCGTTCGATGAGGAGATAGCACCTTTCACAACACCACCGAATACAGCTGGTCCACCGAAAACAGATGTACCGATTGGTTTTGAGTGCGCATTTGAAGATGACGACGGCATTGCATCACCTGTTACATGTTCAGTTAAAATACGAACAGAGGAATAACAACGAAAACACGTACCAGTGACAGGTAACTTGAAACTGAATGACGGTATTGTAGTGGATGTGGTGGTAGTGGTGGCAACACTTGATTGATTTGATAATGAAAATGTTGGTTTCAGTTTCGATGGGTCGGTCGAAGAAGTGCTGAGTGTCGAGAAGAGATTGAAGTTGGGTGATGAGCTAAAACGTTTCATTTTCAGCATCAACTCAGCTTATCCCTCCGCAATTACAGACAAATCAATTACAAACCTAACAGTCGGAACATTTGCCTTAAATTTATCAGCCAGATTGAATTTTGGTGGCTGTTGATGGACGTTTGATGGTGATGACGTTACCGCTATTCCAAAGATAGGAGCTGTGCTTTTGCTCGACAGTAAAGGCTGATTGATCCTGCAATCGTCAATCAGATATGATATGATACACTTTCACAACTCACTTCACTTCCATTTCTCAATTCACCTTTACTAAAATCAACTGTTGAAGCAAACACAATCCAACTTATCATTACGTTCACATTTCGTATTATTTTTATGCCACCCCTTGAAAAAAGTTCAAATACACAACCACTCATTCACATGCATTGATAGCAATTCAGCTGAAGCATACACCAAACTTCGATGGTAATAGTAACAATAAATATATACTGGCTGAGTGCAGTTGTCTGAGACTGAGTAGGTGTCGTGATGTTGGTGTTCGATTTCAAACCAAACGAGAAACGATTGCTGCTATCGTCAGCTTTGTTCGGTGTTACTGTCGATATTGGTTTGCTTCAAGTGGATAAAATTATTCGATCCATTACAATTTTCACTGCGTCATCACAAACGGGTGACTCGTGCAAACGAAACGAATCAGTGAAAGGAACCTGGTAAGGAGAGTGTTTGCAGTTGTATTGGATGTTGAGCCATCTTTATTGCTGTTACAGCATGCACACACTTTCGCAGTTGCACTATTTCGAACATAGCACATTTGACATTCCCAGCTGGCAATATTATTATTCTTATTGCTTTACATCATACATAACTGCATCGCATCGACCTTTTACAATGCATTTGGCAACAGAAAATTATTTTCTGTGGCCACCGAATTTGCGTTTTCTGCGGCCACCACTGACCGCTTTCTGATAATCTCGTCTCGTTGGCGAGATTATTGCTAAGAATGAAAATTGACGAGATTTAATGCAAAACAAGATGTGAAATGCAATCAACCTTCCCGGAGCCGGTTTGAATGCGTCACCAAAAGTGGCGTTTGCAGCAACTGGTTGTGTTCGATTATCAGGAGCGTCTGCTTTCTTTATCGGCGTTGTTTGTGCTGAATTGGTTTGCACATCCATCATTTATGGAGTTATTATATAAGATGTATTTTCGAAGTAGTGTATCGGTAATAACAAGCCGAATAGTTGCATCAAAAATCAACTTTACAAGCCATCACATACCTTCAACTTTTGGATGACTACTACTATCAGAGACACTAGCAGCTTTCTTGGCCATATTGAAGGTGTCGAAGAAGCGTTGCGCAATTTGCGCGGTCTTGAAACGCGCTGCCAACTTCTCTTCACTCAATTCACCTTCTGAGAAGTCTTGTGCGAGCCATACGTAAGCACGATCTGATTTTTGCATCGGTTTTAAGGTCATCGTTGGCTGAATCTTATGATTTGCACATACCTGTAATGTTTGCACGCATTATTTCAACATTTGCCTCATCATGCTGAATCAATTCGTGCCACAACCAATGCCTTAGCAAACTCTCAAAACTTGATACCATTCAACTGCAACCAATAGAGGTAAATGCTCCATTATCGCTAAGGAAACCAACCGCAAAACTGAACGTAACTGTTCGCTGAATACATTCTCAGTTGCTGAGACATCTTGTGTGATAAGATCGTTAGTGCAACATCATATGACTTAAGATCGTATTGAATAATAATAATAATCATTAATAAAAATGATAACAATAGCAAATAATAATAATAACCTTATGGATTTGATCACGTCGCATAACAATGCGACAGGAGCCAGTGGTGGGATGTTGCAATATTTTCAACTCGCCCACTCCCCGTTCCTTCCATTCATTTGTCTCATTTGCAAAACGATATAATTTGCATCGTTCAGCGAACATCACCTGTAAGTAATGATATCAGTCATCCTCTGAACTTTACTACATATAAGAGCAATGAAACGATAATAATAATAATAAAGTAACCTTTTCATCCTCCTCACCAGTAGTAACATCGACGAGATCAGGTAAAGGAATAACGGGTTCAAAGTGAGCTGAAGGTTCGAAATGCTCCGGGACTTCGTCATCGTTATTATCAGTAAGCTGATGAGTGGCATTGAGTTGAAATGTAAACGCAGACGAAGAAGACTGAGTTTTGTTGGTTGAAAGTTTATTATCTGACTGCGGTGGTGTCGCTTTGGAGCCGGCTGAAGATGATACGTCGTTGCTGACGGCAGCGCCACACGACGGCAATGTACCTCTCATATCCACTGCTTCCTTCTCTTCTTCAACATTTATCACATATTCCACTTCGTAGAAACTCTTGATGGTATCCGAACGACGTAAAAAGCCGACAAATTTTGATTAGAATTCCGACATTCGGACTCTAATTGAACGCTTTTCAAATTCGGTCGGAATTCTGAATGTCATAATCTCAAAATAAGAATTCGGTCGGATTCCAACCGAACCGAAATTCCGTTTCGATGCCATCACTAGCACAAGCAATATTCAATCTATCTCTCTTAAAATCGACTAAATCCATCTCCTCTTCATTATTCGCCATGACAATATCAACTCTTATCCTTTCTTTGTTCTTATCGTGGACAAACATCAATAATAACAATAACAATTGTATGTCCAAATATAATTACATTGAAGTATAAAATAACATACTTTCAAGTACTGTTGAAATGGGCTGAACTTTTGGAGGTGATATCGTTTGATTATTGCTTTGTTTAATGTTCACTGTTTTCGATTCACTTTCTGAACATTCATACATTAAATGAGCAATTAAACGTTACGACATCAAACAGGTTAAAGACTGACTAATTATAACCGTTTTATTCGTTAATTTGTATTAAAGCACTCAGCATGCAGATCCATCTCATTACACCATTCTTATTATAACTCAGTCACTGTTTCTAAAAAACAGTGACTGAGTTATGATAGGAATGATGTAACCAGATGGATCTGGAGATGATATTCCCACATGAGACGTATACAATTTGACGGGACGGTGGAAGAGAATAAATACGGTGAACACAGATGACGATCAGCAATCATTATTGAAAATGAATTATCACTGACAGCTGAACGGTATTGTGGTATTTTATTGTCGTATGGGTTTTGTTTTGATGAGGCTAATGACATTGCTGTGCCCTTGGTGTGGTTCACTCAATCACTAAAACAGTGACTGGACTAATGCGTTAGGTGAATTAATGACGATGAGGTGATACCGGATGAATTACTGTTTTGCTGTGGTGCTATGACGAGTTTTTGAGCTGTGGCTGATGTTGCCGGAGGATATATCATTGGTGACGATGAATAGCCCACACCAAGCACTTGCCCTGGTGGATTCGGCAGTCTAAATAGCGAATTAATGAACAGGTAATGAGATCAATAGCAACTGAGGCACATACTAACCGGATCAATAACATAAACAATACTATCCAAATCAGTGCTTCTCATCTCACTCTACTTCAGCAATAAAACATCAATAACTTACGACGGATTAAAAGCAGGTCTGTTCAATGTGCCATATGAAGTGTCTGATGCAGTCGCAAAAGATGGATGATACTGATGATAAGCACTTTGAGATGCCTTAAATATTTTCAATTTTATCTTGTTCACATTCCTTCAATCATAGTCACCAGCTACTTGTCTCTAGCTCAGTTATTTAATACAGCAATTATGCCTAGCTATATCTAGTTTGTTCGCGTCTTATAACTTTTCCGCTGAATCAAAGCAAACATTAACAAAATGGTATTCGAGTTGATTTTCGCGATGATATTATGATATTTGACTGATAACGGAACTGGAGATTATATAACAAATAAATGACCATTAAACGTTGCTGAGCAGCTAACTGATGTTGAATATTATACAGATGTGCTGCATTGTTGACGGTGCTATCTTCAGTGACCGAATGTTGGAAGGGTACATTCAAATTCATATTACCCATCAACTGACTATCGTTACTCGATGACCCATACACACTACCAGCGATAGCCATCGCCGAAGGAATCATACCCATTCCACGGCCTATTCCAGCTGTTGTTCCTGAATATTAAGCGAGTGAGGAGAGTGCACTCATGAAACATATTTAGCATTAGTAGAGTTGAGTGTAAAATACCATAAGGAGATTGCGACGTCAATTGTGATTGTTGCTGTTGTTGATTAGGATGAGGAGCTCGATCCGAAAACAGTCTCACCATCTTCATCAAACGCTCCAACTCACCTTCGTGACACTTCAATTACAATTCCACTTTCATTACGCATAAACGATCATTACAATCTGATTCACTGCCCTCAACATTCGTTTCCCATCAACGAATATGTCATTGTTACAACGTAAAACGAGACTTACTTTCTGCAGAACATTAATGAACATTTCGGATTGAGTTCTTTCTCGACGCACTTCCTCCAGTATTGTCTTCTGATCGCTCTGCAATTACAATGTAATATTCTTATAGATGCCATTCGTTTCTTATTAATGATATCGATCAGCAGACCATAGATCAGACAGACCAATGGAATTGATTAAGATTGTAACAAATAGGAATCATTAATAGGTGTTTACCAGCTATAAACAACTGCAGTTTAATGATGCTGACAAATCGAATTTTAATGCTGATTAAACTAAAGAAACAAAAGCTAATGGAATCGACCTGTATTTCGTTCATTTTCGCACAGATCTGCACTTGTGTTTGTGCTATATTGAGTATTGTTGACGCGATCAGAGTGTCTTCTTCGGAAATTTGCATTTGTTGCGAAAGAGACAGTGGATCCGTCTCTTCTCGCGATCCAGTTAATTTCATTTTCACTGATCTGATATCAACTGCTGAAATTCACTTCAAATTTACTGCTCATTCAGCTGAATCATCGTTATAAACCCTTATCCTTATAAAGATTGCTTCTATGATGAATAAGATTTGCTGAGCACAACAACGATGAGTTACTTGTGAGTTGGAACTAGGTCGGAGCTTTGAGACGGTCTTAAACCCCCGCACAGATGTCACTGTGTTGTGTCTACCTGTGCTTTCAAACATGTGAAACGTGTAGTTCTGTAGTTTGGATCAATGAAAAAAATTGGTTTGGTCTATCAAACACACAATGTGGGTCAACCAAACACGGTGTAAATATGTACGGAGAATTGAGAAAGAATATCCTGACCGGTAATATAACACAACTCTCTGTTGACTTAACTACAACATTACATCTGATTAACCTATGGCAACGACCCAGTAAGGACAAAACGTCACACATATTTGGCTCATTGAAATATCGTAGCACCGGAAATAATATGACTTTTAAAGCGGCGATGCGAGGTCCAATCGAACTAGTTTTGAAGGCTACTGCTTGGACAAGTCCTCTCGGTGACCAAGACTTTTTATTTTAAGCATGACTGAGACAATCGCAAAGGGATAAAGAAGCCATGATTGCTTGAACAATACATCGCTCCCTTCTTGTGAAAAACGGCATCTCTATCTGCAAC